GAACCATGGTCGACTACATGGGAGTCCAGCGACATAGCCATTATGCTAACTGCTGGTCCCTTTATTGTTAAATTTTAAGAGTTCTTTTGTATACTTTGAATAACATTATTTTACCAAATATGTCTTTTGCCCTCACCCATTACTTCTCTTTCTTTAGTCTTGACTATGTCTTTTGCAGAGCAGAAATTTATGACTGTAGTGAAGTCTACCTTATCATTTCTTTTTTTCATGGATTATGCCTTTAAATTTAAAAAAAATAATTATTTTATTTAACTTTATTTATTTATGTATTTATTTATTTTAATTTGACTATAGAGGGGGAAGAGAGAGAGAGGGAAAGTGAGAAAGCAAGCCACCAGGTCTAGGACTTGAACCACAATCAGCCATGTGGGAGTCTAGCACCCTTGACCACCACATCACCTACCAGTCCCTAAATTTTTTTAAAAAGTAATTATTTTATTTATTATTTTATTTTAATTTGACCAGAGAGGAACAGAGAGAGAGAAAGTGAGAAAGCAAGCCACCAGGTCCGGGACTCAAACCACACTCAGCCATGTGTGTGGGTGTCCCATGCCCTTAACCAACACACTACCTGCCAGTCCCATGGATCATGGCTTTAGTATTGTATCTAAAAAGTCTTCGCCAAACTGGAGCCAGCAGGTTGCATGGTGGTTAAGGGTGTTGTACTCCCACATGGCTGACAGTGGTTCGGGTGTTTTCTCCCTTTCTTTCTCTGGTCAAATTAAAAAATAATATTAACAAGTGGAAATAAAAAAAAAATTCTTAAAAAAAAAGTTTTGCCAAACTCAAGGTCATCTAATTTTTTTTCTCATGTTATCTTGTATTAGTTCTACAGTTTTGCATTTTACGTAGAAGTTCATGATCCATTTTGAGTTAATTTATGAATCACTTTTATTTTAATTTCCTGGCAAAATTCATGAAAAGTAAAGAAATGTGGATTCATATATTAAAACATTTAAGAAAATATAGACAGGCTTCTCATTTATTACCTGTATGTCCTTGACCAAACAACCTCTTTAATTCTCAGATACTTCATTTCAAAATGAAGATAATAGTGCTGACCTCATAGAGTGTTATGAGAACTGAGATTGTATGTGTAAAACACTTAGCACCATGTCTGCCACACAGTAGCAATTCTTGTTGGTTCTCACTGTCATGATGTTGATATAGAAAAATATGAGGATGTAAACCTAAGATGCAAAGAAAAATTTGAGGTTTTCTTTCTTATTCATCACTGATTCTAAATTCTACGTTTTTGGTAGGTGGTGGACTTTGTAGCAGCAACACTGCAGAGAGCATGCGCAAGCTTAGTCCATCAGGCAGAGAGCACCGTGGAATCCCAGACACTGAGCATGTCTATGGGGCTGGTGGCTGTCATGCTGGGAGGAGCTGTTCAGGTGAGTTGTAGGCGTGAGATATAATTGAGTAGAAGGAGAAGAAAAGGAAAATACATGGTATACTTTCCATTCCCTTGTGAGAAATAAGAATGGATATGACACATAAGAGATCCAGGATGCACAGGTTAGGTGGTTAATGAGATTTCTGTCCAAGGGAGAGGACAGCAACATTGTACTACTTCTACTTTATCACCTGTTTGGACCTCACTGTCAGACAAGAAGGGCCCCTTCCTACTTAGCACAAAATTGATTTGGAAGCATATAGCACAGTGTTTTACATCTGAGATGAATGTTAGATTCTGGTTCTCGCTCCCCAAAACTCAGCCCTTGTCCCTACTACTGTAGTCAGGAGGAAGTTCTTGGTAACCTGCTGGTTGTTTAGCACTCTGTATTGAATAGCTCCATTTTAGCACAGTATCCATTGTTTAGCCATATTGTATAGCCATGTTAAAGCTTTGCTTCTGGCCACTTTTAAATGAATGTATCTTTTTTAAAAAAGAATTATTTTATTTAACTTTATTTATTTACTTAGAGGGACAGAACAAGAGAGAGAGAAAGTGAGAAAGTAAGCTGCCAGATCTAGGACTCAAGCCTCAGTCATCTATGTGAGGAGTCCAGCACCCTTAACCACCATGCCAACTGTTGGCCCCTCTTAGATCTTTTTTTTTTTTACTTTTTTTTAAGAGTTTTTTTTTTTTTAGAGGTTTTTGTTATAGGGTGCGTGCGCTCGCCAGACAGACAGAGAGAGACAGACAGAAAGCGAGAAATCACCCTCCAGGGGGGATGACCATGCTACAGTCCCTTCTCCTCCGTTCTCCTCTCAGGATCTTGGGCACGCATGCACATGCACCCGGCATGAGTTTTAAGCCACCGGGTCTGGGACGCGAACCGCGGTTGACTACGTGGGAGTCCAGCGACATAGCCATTACACTAACTGCTGGTCCCTTGAGTTTTTTTTTTTTTTTTTAATCATAATCTTGTTTATATTACATTGAATCACATGTAACTTTACAGTGTATTACATTTCTTTTTCCAGAAGAAATACCATGCATATCAGTCAAGAAAAAGACCCCTCATAGATCTTTTACATAATTTATCATTTAAAATTTTTCTCATTCAAACAGTATTTATTGTATACTTGTTCTGTGCCAGATACCGAGTTAAAGTGTTAGAAATACAAAAGTGGGGAACCAGCAGTTAGCGTAATGGCTATGTCGCTGGACTCCCACATAGTCGAACGCAGTTCACGTCCTGGATCCGGTGGCTTAAAACTCATGCCGGGCGTGTGTGCGTGCGTGCCCAAGATCCCAAGAAAAGAATGGAGGAGAAGGGATTGTGGCATGACCACACCCCTGGGGGGTGATTTCTCACTTTCTGTCTCTATGTCTCTCTGTCTGGTGAGCGCACGCGCCCTATAGCGAAAACCTCTCTAAAAAAAAAAAAAA